TCTGGACCAAACACACAGCTGCAACGTCCGAAAATTTTTCTCACTCTCGGATCTCAGAAAAGTATATATATATATATATATATATAAGTAGATCTCTCGCATGTAACCTACAAGAGTCTCGCACAGGTAAAGGTGGACTCCTCGCAGGTATAAACTATATTGTGATGACTCTCGCAAATGTACATGTACCGATTTCTCGCATGTAAAAAGCACACATCGCAAGCAATCCGCCGGCTCGACCCAGCACAGAATCAAACCGAGCTGCGATTTCAACATGGAAAACCATGGCTTAACAAGTATGCTTGCAACACAATTCTCATAATTTTATCTTCACACCTGACCATGCCGCACTGTACAGTCGCAGGAAAATCTCATGCAATCAACAAGCAGAACCATGATAAAAGAAACAAAACCAACCAAAATTAGCTTGCATTTCACTTCTTCAAATTCGGGAATGTGTAACCTAAAAACATGTATTTTGCAGTGTAAAAAAATTTACATTGCAGTGTAAATTTTTTACTATACAAAGTAAATTAATTTACACTTTTTTTTTTACGTAAATTTTTTCGTAAATTTGAAGTGTAAACCAAGCTTTGTTTAGTAAATTGCTCGCCACCTAAAATTAGGTAAACAGCAGGGTCAGGGTAGCGGCGGTCTTTTGCCGCCATTGAAAGCATGCTGTCGGCCCGCCGCTGTGGGCGACGTTCCAACTACCTCGGAGACGCCAGCCCTGTAGAGGCTACCGAACTGTCGGCGGTACGTACCAAAAAGAGGTGCACTGCACCAACAGGGAGCAGCTGCGCGCTGCGCTGAGCGCCTAACGGCGGCCGCCCCTGACGCCGCGGTTTCTGGGTCGCTGACCCCGGCCCCCGCGATAGCAGTTTTCGCATTCATGATGATTGTGGGGGCTCCTGCCCACTGAGCAGTGCCGCCCACAAATCGCCATGCCCTGAGAAATGCAGCCCTGCTGCGCGCAAGGCATGCAACACATGAGGTCGCCACGCCTCTCTGGGCATTTCTCCCATCTCTCTGAGTCTGGGGTTGCCCAGTAGGGCCATTCGTGCACGTCTGTGACGTGCAGGTGCGGCGAGACCCGCTTGGCGTGCGCTACTAGCGCACGCAGGCCGGGGTACCTGCTGTCGGTCGCTGACCCAAGGTTACGCCAGTCATTGTTCTGGGGGTCCTCGCCGGGCTGAAACTGCCAGCCCCGCTGGCGATTGCGACGCTGCGGTCTGGACACGACCACAGTGTTTGCGTTTGGCGCGAACGGCACTGCCGTTGCGGCCTGGCTGCTAGCCAAAGAAACCTCGGAGTCTCCCGAGTTCTGATCACTGTCAGTGTCAATGACCTCAATGACAGGCTCCGCCGCTGGCGGTGCGACGCCGGCAGCTTCGGCGGAGGGTGGGCTGCCTGTTGTGGTCGAAACAGGCTTAGCAGGGGCGGCCGCTGGCGGCGGCAAGGGAGGGTCCGAGGCTGATGCCGACGCTGTCGGCAGAGCAGTGCTGGACGAGGCGGTAGGGTCAGTACTGCCGCTGGCAGTCTTGTGAGTCTTTTTCTTTTTCTTCTCCGAAGGGAGAATCTTGACCCAACCACCCTTGCCTTTGCCCTTACCCTCTGGGTGCCATTGGAAGCCGCTGGCTTCAACCTTAGCAGCCACGTGGCCCTCTACACCATCCACCCAATTGAGTCTCCACTGGAGCTTGGGTACATTATCTTCCTCCCCACTGGGAAGGGCTTATGATTCGATTCAAGCCTCCGATTTGATTCAAGCCTCCAGTCGGGACCTGGTGCCTGGTGTGGCTTAGACTGGTATGGTTGTCGCCCGAAGAAAGCCTGCAAAGCAGGCTTCTGGTAAGCTTGAAGGCAGTACTACTCGTAAGTAGTAGTAGTAGTAGTAGTAGTAGTAGTAGTAGTAGTAGTAGTAGTAGTAGTAGTAGTAGTAGTAGTAGTAGTAGTAGTAGTAGGAGTAGTAGTAGTAGTAGTAGTAGTAGTAGTAGTAGTAGTAGTAGTAGTAGTAGTAGTAGTAGTAGTAGTAGCGTAGTAGTAGTAGTAGTAGTAGTAGTAGTAGTAGTAGTAGTAGTAGTAGTAGTAGTAGTAGCAGTAGTAGGTAGTGGTAGTAGTAGTAGTAGTAGTAGTAGCAGTAGTAGTAGTAGTAGTAGTAGTAGTGGAGCAGTAGTACTAGTAGTACTAGTACTAGTGCTAGTGCTAGTACTAGTACTAGTACTGATACTAGTACTAGCACTAGCACTAGTTCACTAGTACTAGTGACAGTGCTTGTGCTAGTACTAGCACTTGTACTAGTACTAGTACGAGTACTAGTACTAGCACTAGCACTAGCACTGGCACTCGGACTCGCACTAGCACTAGCACTAGTACCAGTACTAGTACTAGTACAGTCTGGGACTAGCGCTAGCACTAGCACCAGCACTAGTACCAGTACTAGTACTAGTACTGGTACTAGTACCAGTACTAGTACTAGTACTAGTCAGTTCGGAAGATACACTTGACAAGAGCTATGATTTGTTAATTCCGATACTCGGGTCATAGTGACGTCCCATTTGCAAGCTCCGCATAATCGGAAAGCTCGAATCCAGTGACTATTTCCACGCAGGAAGGTCGAATTCAGTGCCCGCGGAGTCGTATTCAGTATACTTGATAAGAGCTACGATGAGTTAACTCCATTTGCAAGCTCCGCGTTATCGGAAAGGTCGAATTCAGAGATTATTACCACGGCGGAAGGTCGAATTCAGTGCCCGCGGAGTCGAATTCAGTGCCCGCAGAGGAGGCAGATTGTTGACACTGTCGGAATTATAGAGACACTTGACACTGTCGGATGGCACTGTCGGAATGACCGCCAAGTGGCTGCGGAGGAGACTGTTGTTGGGGTATGGGATTTACACGAAGTCTGGGCCATTTCTACCGGGGGAGGAGCTTTCGGAAGTGGCACTTCCGGAACCCCCCCAGAAGCGGAAGCCCCCCCAGAAGAAGGCAGGTCGTGTTTAATGTCTTGGAAAGTCTTCAGACCTCGCCAGACTTTCGAAGACTTCATGAAGCCACAAACAACAGCGCTGTGCGTAGCAAAATCGCGTAGTGTAGCAGTTGTCGTTTTTGTTGGCATGGCGGCCGCTCATTTTGCTCAAAGGCCCGTCTAAAGTCCTGTAGTTACAGTGGACGCATAGTGGATGGGTGTTGTGTTTGCCCCAACATGTTTTTTTACATGTCGTCTTTGCGCAACCAAGTTTCGCCTTTTAGGTAGGCTGCTGCAAGTCGGCTTTGGACACTTACGTGGTTTGGCAGCTCCTGTGCGGTTACCAAAACAAGCAGAATCAGAGCCAGCTTCCGTTCAGGTATCGGGAACTGCGATTCGTTTTTCAAGCTGATTGTCAAATTTTCCTTGTTGCAACAGTGCATTGTTGGACCACTGAATCCTGTCTGTGGGGCATGACAAGTAAAACTAGATTCCTGAGCACAAGACTTGGAAACCAATCCATGCATATTTTGGCCGGCGGAGCAAGTTTCACTTGTTGCTGCTCTTTGCACCATGTTTCTTTTCATCATCGGCATTATGAAACAACAACGAACCCTGCACCATTTATCCAGCCTGTCTGGTGCAACATGAACTATTCTGAGTAGAAGGCTTCGACGCAATCTTTGTAATAGGCGCACGCGGCAGACAACCAGCATCAATCACGTTCCATGCGGAGCTCAAAGCGAGCATCTGCAACCATAACTGCACGACAGTCTTGAAAGTAGCACGAACGACCGGTTTCACCTTGATTTGTGACGTCTAAGAGCTCGCAGGAAACAGCCGCGCGCACCCGCCGTGTGCCATGTGCCATGCCATGAACACGCCATCTGCGATTGATGAGGTCTTCTCGGAGTGATGTTTCTTGAACGGGGTATGTCTTGCTACTCATTTTGGCGAGCTTGGCATGCTGACAGTCAGTCGATAGCCGGTCTTAATTAGATCTCATTTGCCCACTCTGTGGGTGACCGTTCTTGCTTCCTTCTCAAAGCGGCAGGTGCTGTGGGTCCGCCGTCTGCATGCATCGCCGAAGGCCTCAATTGGATAAGAAGTCGCAGTGGCAGTTGACGTGACGTAGTTGTTGCAAGGGTATAACTAGAAGGGACGGGACAGCGACGTGAATTTGAGGTTATGCTCAACAATCATGTGCGGTCATCTGCAGATCTTTTGATCCTTTGTGTCACAAACGCCAGGCCTCTATGCCTCCGCCGTCTGCGATTGATGAGGTCTTCTCGGAGTGATGATTCTTGAGCGGGGTATGTCTTGCTACTCATTTTGGCGAGCTTGGCATGCTGACGGTCAGTCGATAGCGGGTCTTAATTAGATCTCATTTGCACACTCTGTGGGTGACCGTTCTCGCTTCCTTCTCAAAGCGGCAGGTGCTGTGGGTCCGCCATCTGCGTGCATCGCCGAAGGCCTCAATTGGATAAGAAGCCGCAGTGGCAGTCGAGGTAGTTGTTGAAAGCACAATGAAGTGCGTTTGAGGACGTGCTCAACAATCACGTGCGGTCATTTGCAGACCCTTCGTGTCACAAATGCCAGGCCTCTATGCCTCCGCCATGTGCGATCGACGAGGTCCCTTCGGATGATGGAGTTTTCAGGGAAGTTTGGCTTCGAGAAGCAGTCGCAGTTGGTGCGATGATTCCCTCATGTCCGATAGGTTTGTGACAGAATGCTTCCAAGTGCCACTGAACAGATTCAGCGTCCGGTGAATGACCATGTTGTCCATTGAATTTCTCTCCGGGCTCCTGGGGCTGAGTGTTGACCGCGCGAGTGATGTTTCAATAATTCAATAATAGCAACGGGCACGGGTTTGTCATCGTAGGATCCATGTGCGTCTAAGGTCATTCTGGTAATTGCTTTCCGTGGCATGGTTCAGGTAGGACACACGGAGGTCGCAGATGTGCTTTAATTCAGGTTCAATCCTACAACGCTTCATAAAACGCAACAGCCACGGAATCCGTTGGTGCCATCCATGTCCGGGGCAGCTGGAAATGCCTCCCAATCAAGCCGAGTGGATGATATCACCGACTCTGACAAGGACTCTGGCCCTGAAGGCGGGACTGTGCAGCATCACCCAACCCTTCGGTTTGCATTTGCACCGTCAGGCCCAACCAATCCCAAACCCGAGTTTTATACTCTTATCTTGTGTAGACGTTTGATGGGAGTGTTCTGCGTACAGAATATCTTGAGAGTTGTATGTGCTGGTAAGAAGTCGAATTGTTTTCGCATGAATGTTCAGTACATGTCCGATGTCGTTTGGTCGCATGCACGGCTTTGCGGAACAAGGAATTCCCAGTGTTGTAGGAGCGAGCAGCGTCAAACTGTCTTTCCCAAGTCTGACTGAGCATTTGAAGTTCTGGTCCCGGACCACGACAAGGATCTAAGCAGTATGCCTAGCACTATCGGAATCCCACCCGCGACTACCAAGGGCCTTGCGACAGTCGCAAGAGCATCATCAAGCATCACGGCGCCACTCCTAGAATCTCGGCGTCGTCCGGCTCTGGCCGCCAAGCCAGCCGGCTGGACAACATTACGGATTCCGACGAAAGTGCTGATGTGACATCCAGCTTCTCAGATTAAACAGTACATTTCGGATAGACAGGACAGCAGATGTTGGTCGCTCGGGACTGACGTGTGTTAGATGTCCCGAGTTGCTGAATGAGGTCATGCCAAGAAGTTAGACTTAGAGTCCAGAGCCGTCGGGGCAGAAGACACCCAGCCGGCCTCTTCGCGAGAGAAGCGAGGAGCCTTCCAAACGTAGTCATCGTGGTTGCCGCTCCGCCCGCGCATGCATTGTTGTGTGCTTTGCATGGCCTGCCAGGAACTCCAAACAGCATAGCGCGTGGCTCGACCATTTCTGCAGCCGATCTTCGTGAGCGGCTGAGAAAACCGTGCGGTTGCTTTGCGCGACGGCGCAAAGTGGAATCAGGGAATTCAATGACATGTTATCACAGCTTTCTGACAGACGACATCCTGTTTCAAAAGCTGCATTCTTACGTCAACAGCTGGCTGGAAATGGACAAGCTGGAGCAAGACCAGTTTGTGGCTTGTTCGAAATAGGTAGAGTTCCCCGTGCAGTTTCCAAACAAGAATTCCGTGATACCCGTCCGCCACAGTCTACCAACAAAAGCAAAGGCTACATACATCGCAAGTGAGTCCATAAAGTTACACTTTTTTAGACTTTGTTCTTAGTTACCCGACTATTAGAGTTGCTTCCGTGACCGATGATATGATCTGCATGCTCCGATTTCGATGGCCGCGAGCAGGCCACACTTCAGATACAGGACTGTCAACGTGGAGTAGTTCGACCAGGGAGGGGTTTGATTTGGCTTCAAAGTGCAGCTGTCTTTGTCGTCTGTGTGCCTTTTCGAAACGATATGTTGTTTGGTTAAAGCCAGGGCATCAGCCTCCGCACATGACAATGATGACCCCATCATTGGAGCCGATGACAATGAGCTTCATACGGGTTCGATTGAACATTTTGTACCGTTGTTGCGCGGAAACCATGAAGCATAACTGGGCTACAGTCCCAGGTTTTCTCCCGTGTCCGAGAGCTGGCACTGGAGCAGAAGATCATCCAGGCAGACTCTGGCAAAAGGACGTGAGCCACAAGAGAAACATGACTTTGTTTCTAGTATTGTTGGAAATCGTGACCATAGCGGCTATGTCAAAGTTAAGTTGTGAAAGTTACCCCGTTGCTGCTAAAGGTGATCATGTGTCGGTACGTGAATGTTGGCCCTGGAGGATAGAGAAAGCTGATGACAATGAGCAAGCCGCGCAAGGCTTGCAGTATCACATCTTGGATGTCCGCATCTGCAGAAAGGCGTTTGCATCACTGCACCTGATGGGCGAGCATCCGCGGTTGAGAGGCTTGGTGAGCGCTGTGATGCAAGGCCGCTCGCAGGCACCGACTGACAAGCGCTACCTCAAGCGTAACCAGAGTCAGACTTCAGTGAAGACTGGAGAGGTATACTCGTACCTGGAAACCTTGTATGAGTCTGTAGCGGAGCGTTTGCCAGAGGATGATGCCGTAGAGTTGGACATGAGTGGAGATTTGGGAAATCAACAGGACGACTCCGAAGCTGAGGAATCTAATGTCATCCTTTTGGCCGACTGTGAGGCTTCAGTGACTGTGGGGCATGATTCCAAAAAGTACCTGCCACCAGGAAGTATCTACGACGAGTACAAACAGTACCTAGCCCTCGGCAATGAGAAGTGCAGTTTCAGTACCTTCATTCAGGTTTGGCAAACACATTTTGCTGGCATCTTGGGGTTTCGTGGCAAACGTCAACATGCGATGTGTGCAACGTGCACGCGGCACAAGCTTTTGTTGTCGTGTATGCCACATGCGGCCGCAAGAACTCGGCAGAGGCTGTTGTTCGAACGCCATTTGGCTGACCAATACCGGGACCGAATGATTTACTGGAAGACGCGTGGGGACTCCCGAGCTCTTGGTTCGTCGACGCTGTCCATAATCATGGACAGCGTCGACCAGGCGAAGTTTGCCTGGCCAAGAAGCAAGGTCTTTAGATCAAAGCAATTTGATGCCTTCCATAGACCCCGCTTGCACATTACCGCAGCCATAGCCCACGGACACGCGGTAATGGTGTACGTTGCACACAGCGACGTCACACAGGCAGGCGCGACAACCGTCGATATGCTAGGGCATCTATTGACTCGATTGAAAGATAGCGTGCCCTGGCTGCGACCATGAGAAGCGGTTTTCTATTATGTATTCCAGGGGCTCACGATAGATTATTCACCGGATTGATAAGGGGCCCCTGTGAAGGGGGCCTCTTTGGGTTGCACTTTGCCGCATGGGCGTGTTGCGGCAGAATGGGGCCCAATCGGGCCTTATGGGGTCCAGTGGGTTTCCCAGTGACCCCCCTTAGGCCCGATTGGGCCCCATTGGACCGCAACACACCCATTCGGCAAAGTGCAACCCACAGGGGTCCCCTCCACAGCGGCTCCTTAACTTATCAACCCTGTGAATTACATCGCACAATTCACTCACTGCTAAATTACACTTATTATAGCAGATCCCATTGCAATGCTGAGGGTGTCCCTGTCCACGCGATGCACATCCATCTGCAGCTCGACAATACTGCATCTACCAACAAAAACGTCACCGCTTTCAGCTTCATGGCATCAGCCGTACAGGTGGGCATTTGCCGTTCCTTTACCGCATCTTTTTTGCGAGTCGGACACACCCACGAGGTCGGCGGGGGCTAGGCCAAATCGACGAACTGTTTGCATTGAAGGTCTCTCGCTTGCTTGCTTTTCCTTGCTTGCTTGCTTGCTTGCTTGCAAGGCTAAAATGCCTGGTACACTTCTCGACGATTTGCATGTGTCATCTTGCGCAGGGGCTGTGCTAATCGTCTCTGTATCGTTCCAGTTTTATCGGATGATGTCCGAAGGGAATCCACTCTTTCTTTCTGCCGGGCCTCTCTTTCTCTCTCTGTCTCTCTCCCGTGCGTGAGCTTTTCCGTGCACTGAGCTGGATGAGTACTTAGGCGAAAGCTGTCTGTTATGATGATGGTTGGATTGGGAGTGATTCTGCTCCGCCTTGAACTGTGTCCTACCGTGCGAGCGTTAGTAGTGGTGTGCTGACAGGACATTGATGCTTTTTTTTCGGAGATGACGACCTTCATCCGCAAGCGGCTTCACTGGGCTGACAGCTTCGATATGTTCCGAACGAGGATGCAGGAGTTCCTGGACTTGGGCACTCGCACGCACGAGAAGCTGCGGGAAGCAGTTGTTGTTGATCGAGTGCGGAATTGGAAGGATTACTTTGGGTTCATGGCCCTACAGATGAAGGGACACACCGGCCCCACAGCTCCTCGAGTTTTCCAATTCGTCAGGCGTTCAGGCCGGACACCACTAGGTCCCTAGGTATTCGTTTAAAGCTCTGAGCATCTCTGGCGTCAAAGGGCTATGCAACAGACGCTGTGCAGGCCTGCCGGATACACATCCGCTTCGAAGATCCGGATCTCCCATGGATGTGGTGTTGAGGTGCGAATCTGCTGCCAGCAGACAACAGACTCATGCCAGGCTTTAGGCAGGGTTTCAGATGTCCCGCGTTGCAGGTGCAAGCAGTACATGTGTGATCCTCACTTCTACCAGAGCCTGGATTTCTTGACCGCTGCCCACGTGGACAAACTACCGGCTGCGCTGCCCACAAGTCACTTTGCGGCATGCGCAATGGGCCTTTGTTTGCTTCTGCTTTGATGTGGTTTGGGCATTTGTGGACTGGAAGTCTCGAAGTCGACTCAGTTAGTAGAATCTTAGTAGAACTACGCAACAGACAGTAACAACGAATCGATCCATTTGAGATTGTTGGGTTCAGGTGAAGCTTCAGAATTTCCCTTCTACACGGCTGAAAATTGGCAGGTGGAGTGTAAAAGCAGCAGTCAGTCCTCGTCAGTGTCAATGCGTCCAGCTAAGGCTTCTTGGAGCGGGTTCGGAAAACTGCCAAGTACAAGGCCATGATTCTCAGACATGCGGACATGCTGAAAGACCCCGCGTTTGGTATGCCAAGTGCTTCACAAGAATTGCGAGAATGGGTCAATGAGACTCGGCGAGAGCTGCCGCCCTTGAAGGTCACACACTGTTGCTTCTTTGCCCGCCACCGGAGTCTCCATGACAATGAGCCCGTTGTTCTGGCGGAAGATTCATCCTGCGACATGGGCCCCCAAGCTTCTGCGCTGGAACCCCCTGTGGCACAGGTTGTCGTCTGTGAGAAGAAGATGCAGGGTCTGGCCCGCAAACGCAAGCTGCGGGAGGAAGCAAAGACGACGCTGGCTGAAGCCGAAGCTGCTTTCAAAAGTAGTACGGTGACGTTTCTGATGAAGCATCAAGAATTCAGCCTTTCTGAAGCTTCAAAGATTGCAGATGTCGCTTGGCGAAAGAAGAAGAGTGCAGAGGCCGCATCGCAGGCGAGTGGGTCTGGAGGCAGACGTCCACTTCATGATGACGACGGAAGTGATCAGGAGACCGTCAAAGCAGGCTTGTAGAGTTAGTGACCCTCGCCCTTAGCCTAGATCTGATCTGGTACTGTTCGCCGGTTCCAGCAAGAGATGAAAGAAAAGTCAGTAAATTTCACTTGCTAGTTATGAGTACTACATTGAATGTCGATGCTACCTTCTGACCCCATGACGATATTGACGAGGACGCTACGGCTTTGGATGTCCCTGATCGCGAAGACCTCTCCACGCGATCAGCCGCCCGGAGCAGCGCAGATTGACACAAAGCTGTTAAGCAGCTTACGAGATCAATGCTTCACCACGGACGTTTTCGCTCTCGCAACTTGTTGTCCGGCACTGCGAGCTGCTCTGCAAAAAGAAACATTGAGTGGCACTGGCCCCACAAGTCGTAAGCCTTCATTGACTAGTCCGTACTTATACAAGTTAGTATACTGCATTGAACACGACATTGAAGACATTGTTGATCACGCTACTACCATCCAAAGTCATGTACTGATCCTGGGCTAACTCACTCAGCCCGTGAGCGTTCTGTATTAATGTATGGCTTCGACGTGACGAGCCCGCCCGTTCCTTGATATTCTAGCATCACTGAATGGGGGGCTTCAAGGGTTCAGGACTTGAGGGCTTCAGCGTTTGAGCGGGGGTAAAGATCACCGTTCGGGCTGTTGAGGTATCGGGTTTAGGTTCCAGCATCAGTTTCAAACATGTAGCGGACTCTTGGCCTACCGCGCGCGCAGCCTCATTCTTGACAACCAGGGAACCTCGGAGCTATAGCATGGAAGCTCTTTTTTTTCGACACATGGAATTTTCGTGACCCAAGTTCTGTCAGTGTTTAACACCACTTTCCCAAACGCCACAAGGCCTCGACCCCGCATCCTGAACTGAATTCCGCATGTACCCAAACTGTTCAAGTCGAAGTCTCGTAAACCACTAAAACCAGTGCAGACTAACATGCCCTAAATCAACAGCGGAACAGGTTCAGACCGTCGAGAAGATGGCGAAGGCCCTTTTGCAATTTCGAGGTTGTGGGGGCTTCAGGGGTTCGGGACTTAAAGATCAGCATTCAGGCATTTGGGGTTACGGCTTTAGGTTCCAGGAATTGTGTAAACCACTTGAATGACGGCTTCGCAGACAAATTTCTGTGAAACTGTTTTTGGAGGTTGACGATCAGGGTTTAAGACGATGACACTCATACGCGTAACCTGTAGGGTCGGGTCATTGGCTCTCCGAGTGTCATTATGACATGATTGGCTTCCCAAACCCTCAGCCCTGTATCGTCGATACATTTTGTATGGAGCCAAAAGCCAAAAGCCTAGACCCCGCACCGTCCACCCATGTTCTGTTGAGCCCAAAACCCCAGCCTTAAACCCTGTACCGTCAGTTTATTTGTTCTATTGAGCCTGCTATGAACCGCTGGTTTCCGAGGCATCCGCGGTTACGATGGCTCCAGGAAATGTCTGGTTCCTGTCATGCGCTGTGTGGTTTGGCGGTCTCTGGGAGTTTCAAGGCTTTAGGCTTTGGGGTTCGGGTGTGGGTTTGGAAGGTTTGAGGAGGTCTAACGCTTGTCCAGTCTCGGGTCTCAAGTTTGAAGTTGAGGGTGTAGGGCTCTGGGCTGTGGGGTTTCAGATGTTGTTAGAGTTTTGTGTCTTTCGGTTTTCAAGTTTATATAAGTTGTAGGGTTTCTGTCGACGTTTTTGGAAAGTCCCCTCAGCCAGGATCCAGTTTAAGGAATCTGTTTTAGGGAAGTCGGGCTTCGGGGTTCGGGAATTTGGGAACGACGATAGCATGTTAACATATGCATGCGGCCTGCGAACCAAGCCGGCATCGAGTTAGAACAATTAGATCCCGAGTGAGCCCGTCATGCACGGCCATGTCGGCATTCTCAAGAGGCGCGACCGTCCAGCAACAACAGCACTCCAAGAAACCAACCCACCACTGAGCTTGACAGGAGTTGTGTCATGGCCAAGCTCGACAATGAGAAGAACAATGCATTGCCGGCCCCCGCATCTGCCCCTAGCACTTAAACTTGCAATTGTATTTATTTGTCCACGTTGAAAGTTCCGTCTCCAACAGGTAGCTGCTAGGACTAAGATTGGTGCAAGCCACCACATGCCAGGCTAGCCTCGGCATTCAAGTCGCAGAGATTTTCAGCGGCAGCGGCAACCTCACAGCAGCGTTGACACGAGAGGGGTTCAATGTGGCATCGTTTGACTTGAAGATCTCCGCGGACCACGATTTCACTGACATGTGCAAAGTCCAACGAATCATTCAGGAAATCAAAGGGCAAGGTACCAAATATGCGCATTTCGCGCCCCCTTGTAATTCCTTCAGCATATCCCGATGGCCAAAGCTGAGGCCCACCAGGTTGACAACATTACGCAACAAAATAGCAACCAGCTACTACTGCTACCGTGCAACGGAAATAAAACACCCCTTTCAGGTCAAAGAAGCATCCAGAGGGCATACCGTGGAGGAAGAAGACAAGCAAGCAAAAGCTCGAGCTGTACATTGCCAACCGTATAGTCAAGAACGTGATGACAGCGATCCTAGAGCTCCTAGCGGACGGCATCATCGTGTCAGTCGAGAACCCGTGCAACTCACTGCCACTCAGTGGCTTTAGATAAAACCACACCAAGCCCACCCGACAGCGTAATCACCAATCTACCTGAAAGCCAAAGCCCAATGTTATATTTAAACCCTGCCCTCCTAGAAAGCCAACCCCACAACCCTCCCTACAAAACCAAGTCCCGAAACGCCTGCAACCCTGACGCCCAAAGCCCTATCCTAAACCTGAGGTCACGCCAACCCTACAGTCTCCAAATCACAAACGCCATACGGTAAAACCTTGAACCGCCGAACCTTGATAATCGCCAAGCTGTGATCTTGTGTGAGGCTGTGGCGCATGCCGCATATGCAGAGCGTCCTGTCGCAAATGAAACCTGTGACACTGGACTTTTGCAGGCGTCAGTCTTACACTTCCTGAATATGTGGGGTAGGGGATGCAGGATGATGTTGAATTGCATCTTGATCACGACCCCTAGGTACGGGGTCAACCACCGCAAGCGAACCACTATCTTCGCTTCTGATGCTGTCATGCTGTCAGGGCTTGAGAAGAGATGTAACCACCGCAAGAAGCATGAAAGGCTAGCGGGATGGGTAGATCGATCTCAGTCTGCCAAAAAGCAGAAGCACAAAGCGACGAAGCTTGCAACTGCGTACCCAATCAAGCTTTGCAATCAGTGGGCCTCACTGGTGAAGCGGCATCTGCAGCAGCCGTGAAGTAGCTGCCGCCCTTATCGAGCTCTGAAGTTGGAAGTTCACAGTATGGCTCAAGGCCCTCATCACGTTAGGTATATTGCAAACCCCTACAAGCCCAAACCGAAAGCCGGAGCGCTTTTGACCCAACATAAATGTGGTGGGGCGTGCATGTGGGTCGTGCAGTTGTACTGTTGAGAATTGTCGAGGTATGCATGTGTGTAGATGACGTGTAGATGCCCAATTCAGGGAGGCGAGGTTTGATCAAAAATGCTCCCGGACACACGCCGCGGGCGGGAGCGTTTTTGATCTAACATAAATTGGTGGGCCGTGCGTGGATGTCGTGCAGTCCCAGTGTGTCGAAAATTGCCGAGGTATGCATGTGCGTATACGTTGAATTCAGGGAGGCGAAGTCAGATCAAAAATGCTCCCGGACACATGCTACGGGCGGGAGCGTTTTTGATCTAACATAAATTGGCGGGGCGTGGCGGATGCTGTGCAGTCCTAGTGTCGAGAATTGCCGAGGTATGCATGTGCGTATACGTTGAATTCAGGGAGGCGAAGTCAGATCAAGAATGCTCCCGGACACATGCTACGGGCGGGAGCGTTTTTGATCTAACATAAATGTGGTGGGACGTGCGTGGGCGTCGTACAGTCCTAGTGTTGGGAATTGCCGAGGTATGCATGTGTGTAGATGCCCAATTCAGGGAGGCGATGTCAGAACAAACATGCTCCCGGACACACGCCACGGGCGGGAGCGTTTTTGATCCAACATAAATGTGGTGGGACGTGCGTGGATGTCGTGCAGTCTCAGTGTGGAGAATTGGCGAAGTATGCATGTGTGTAGATGCACAATTCAGGGAGGCGATGTCAGATCAAAAATGCTCCCGGACACACGGCGCGGGCGGGAGCGCTTTTGATCTGACATAAGTTCGGCCACCCAACCCCCCCTCGCTGGCCTTATTTTGGGGGGGTTGGGTTGCCTCTTTTTATGACGAATCCCACTGTGATTCCTCACAAATGTTTGGCGCAGCAAGTCAGCTGTGATGCAGGTGATAACCCTGCCACCCCCCCCGAAAGCAAGTGACAGCAACAGCAAGACCAGAACCTGTGACCAATCCCACGGATTGGCCTTTCCGAGTCTAGATACCCAAACAGCAGCTGCAGCGGCAACAAAACAACAGCGTGAAACACAGAATATATGACGAATCCCACCGTGATTCCTCAGGAATGTCCCATCGAGTTTGCTGTGATACCCAGGTCCTTCCGGACATTTTGGCACCTGTGCTGTACTTGTTTTTTTGGAGGGGGGGGGGGCCAACATTTATGACGAAGTCCAGTGGGATTCGTCACAAATCTTGTGGGTGCCGTTGTCGTTGCTGAGTATCTCGATCAACATATAGGGACAATAGATTTGTGACGAAGTCCAGTGGGATTCGTCACAAATCTTGTGGGTGCCATTGGCGTCACTTTCGCTGTGCTAAATTTTAGAGAGAGGGGGGAGGGCGGGGGGGCGGTGCGAACACTTGTGACGAAATCCAGTGGGGTTCGTCACAAATCGTGTGGCTGCCATTGCTGGTGTTATCTGCAGTGGGATTCGTCAGTGAGTGGGTGCCGTTGGCGTCGCTTTCGTTGTGCTGGTTTTTGGGAGGGCAAACATTGGTGACGAAGTCCGGTGGGATTCGTCACAGATCTTGTCGGTGCCGTTGCTGTTGTTATCACCTCAGTCAACTTTTCAGAAAACATATTTGTGACAAAGTCCAGTGGGATTCGTCACAAATCTTGTGGGTGCCGTTGGTGTCGCTTTCGCTGTGCTGACTTTTTGGAGGGGCAAACATTTGTGACGAAGTCCAGTGGATTTCGTCATAAATCTTGTGGGTGCCGTTGTCGTTGCTGAGTATCTCGTTCAACATACAGGGACAACATATTTGTGACGAAGTCCAGTGGATTTCGTCACAAATCTTGTGGGTGCCGTTGTCGTTGCTGAGTATCTCGATCAGCATACAGGGACAACATATTTGTGACGAAGTCCAGTGGATTTCGTCACAAATCTTGTGGGTGCCGTTGTCGTTGCTGAGTATCTCGATCAACATACAGGGACAATATATTTGTGACGAAGTCCAGTGGATTTCGTCACAAATCTTGTGGGTGCCGTTGTCGTTGCTGAGTATCTCGATCAACATACAGGGACAACATATTTGTGACGAAGTCCAGTGGATTTCGTCACAAACGGGCGGCCGCATAACCGGTACCGTTTGCGATGGAACCCAGTGGACTTCATCACAAAAGCTGTGTGTTCGCTACATGGGTCTACACTTCAACCTCCAAAGTCTCCCCGATAGTCAGCATCAACAAGGGTTTTGTGATGAAGCCCAGTGGGCTTCATCACAAACAGCTGCTCTTCTGCAAGACTGATTTTGTGATGAATTCTACTCTGTGGACTACGTTAAAGGGAAGAAGCCTTCGGATGTGCCTGAAGCTAGTGGACAGCATCGGCCTTCAGAGCTCCCAGCGGCTTCCCGAGTAATCATGCACGAGCCGAGGCTAATTTTTGATAGGAGAGATGTATATAGCCTGGGGCTCTCAATCAGAGCGGGATGACATCTGAGAAAAAGGATGGATCGGAGTGTCACTCAGTGTCATCAGACGTGCGCATGACATACCATGAGAACGTGTGATTCCTCAATTTGGTTAGTAGCACCCGTCGAGTTAGTGTGAAGTCTCGGAACTCGGTCCGGCGCTCAGCTCGTGGCGATGGGAGGGAAGAAGCGCCCGTCGATGGGCGGATCAGACGCAGCTCCGACCCGTCGGAAGAGCCTCGAGAGCAGCCCGGAGGTTCCAAAAGCGTTCGTTGTGAATCCGTGGTTCAACCAGGCAATCACCAAATTCGACGACCTATGGGGCCATTTCGAAGACCTGGAGACAATCATGAAACACATATGGCCCACCCCCGAATCCCAGAAAACGTGGGCCCTCAGGCTGAATGACATTTTCCCCCCGGAGCCTGGTGTCGAGTACCTGTCGCCCGATTGGGGCGAGCACGCAGTGAAGAAGCTGCGGCCGTATCACTGGTCGTGGGCGAAAGACTCAGGTAACAAAGGCCCTGTGAATCGCGAGGCATACAGGAACCTGCTAATGAGCATCATGGTGAAGGGTTTCTGCACGGACGTGACGCAACCCGGCATCGAGCTGCCCTTGATTACACTCCCCTATGATGATGACAGCGCGGAAGAGAACAAGGTCATCTTCCCAACCACCATAGACAAGGAGCTTCGTCTACGACGGCTCTTAGTTCCAGTTCTACTTCTACTGTACTCGAACAATAAACTGCGTGTTTCTTAACAGGTCGTGCTGCCAGTATCAGAAAGACGACGGTTTCAGTTGCTGGCACGTGGGGCCGAACAGGGTTGAGGTTGAAGGGTTTAACGGTTCAGGGTTCAGGGCTATAGACCATGGCTAGGGGTTTGTACTGTAGGGCTGTAAGGGTGAGACGGGTGAGTCAGTGATGTTTTGGAGTGGACATGAAACGAGCTTCAATACCCACAACCGACTCGAGCAAAGTACCCCGAATACGAAAAAGCATTCGGATCAAGTCTTCAGGTGGACTAATGCTATCAGGCGAAAGCGGTGTAGGGATATTAAAGCATAAGCTCTCACACCTCGAGCCCCAAGCCACTAGCCCTGAACCTCGTCCTTTCGAGAATAAGCGCTGGCTCAGGACGTGGCTGACGCCTACGTCGTCAACGAAGTCAAGGGCTGGAGCCGTGCCACGGCGATGCATATGGCCTTGGCCATGATGGATGCTACAGGGAACATGGATGTGTACCTCGACTACCTTCGGAGCAACGGCAAGTTCAGCAACTTCCAGACTCAAAGCGCCAACTTCCTGCACATTCCGGATGACAAAGACGAAGTGGACGTCAATCGTGGCAGCTCAGCTTCGTATTACTGAGGCTATCCTAGATGCGCTGCACATGCAAAATGGACCCAAAGTAACGAACTCTGTGAACACTGAGCGCACATGACCCTAAACCATTTAGCCTTCAACCTAAACCTCTCGAGAATTAGCTCAGCGAAGCCAAGAAAGTCCTAGCCAGCAAAGCTTGCCTCGTCAGCCAAGATGTGACTATGATGTCAACACTCACGAGAGTGAAGCCGAACGCTTTCAACTATTTGTTCCAAATCATGAAGAAAATCAAGATTCATGCCAGCGACCCAAGAACCCAGCACGACGCATTTAGGGCTGCTTCGGCCGACTACGGGCTCAGTCGAGCTGAGCACGAGGCGGTGGAGAACCTCTTGCTCCACATCAGTCCTTCGGCGCGAGATTTCCTGACTCGGCTAGCGAGCTCTCACGGGATGGTGAAGGGACCGATCAGTCATCAAGGATTAGGGTCGAAAGCTCTCCGCTCGACGTACATGGTGAAGTCCGATATCGGCTGGTACGAAGACAAGCTCAACAATTGTCCCGACACCGTGCAACTAATCTTGGAAAGAATCAAGCTGGACTTCGTGAATGTCGCCCCGGGTATGAGAACAAGTGCATCGGATGAAAAGATCAATTCCCTTCAAACGGTGAGCCGGATGTTTCTGCTCTACTGCGAAGATTTGCGCAGCAAGTTGACCCTTGAGGCCCGCCATGTGGAACCACTTAAGACTTAAGGCGACCAGTCAGATACAAACCCAGTTTCGTAATATTAAATCTGGCAGGCCTACGAAGGCGAGTTCCCGCAGCTGAGACTCGTTTTCCTCAATGGCTGCTTCGACGACCATTTCTTGGACCTCGGGGGGGAGGGGTGGGGGAAGCAAACAAAGCTTCGAAGCATGTTGGCAGTTTGGGACTTGATAATAGCGCAGATTTACTGTTCATAGGAGTAAGTCCTCAATGCCAAACGGTACAGCTCCTCATCAGATTCAGTAGGAGCAGCGAGACTCTCTGCCTGTACCGCTGGACTGCACGAAGCTGCCGGAGTTCAAGTACATCGTCGATCGTGCGAGTGCAGAAATGAGAAGTGCCGAGCTCAAGAAGCGGAAGGAGCTGCAGCAGAAGGTGGATCAGGCGAGCTACGAAACGCTGGAGAATGAGGTATCGAACGACCTTGCTCTCCTGTCAGAGTACAATCTCGCAGTGGCCAGAGCCAAGGAGCTCTGGACAGATCAGGTCCAGAGCTACAAGCGAAACAGAAGAAACAGGGGCCTGCAAAGAGTGCAAGAGCTGATGGACAACCGGCTCAGCCTGGTCGATCTGGAAAGCAGTGCCAGCGGTGGCTACAAATCGATCCCGAAGCACTACAGCAGCTTCAAAGCACGGAAAGAGCTTGACTTGCCAATTATCAAGAATGCAGAGACTTTGATCGTCCTGGACCTCGGGAAGATGCCGCAGTCGCTCTCTGCCGCCCTTGAGATGCTCAAAGCGGGGGCCGACATTTGTCACCAGGGGCCCGAGTGCGCCATGCTCGTGAAGTACCCGACCAAGATCAAAGGAACCACCATGACAGCACACTTCAACGCTGTGAGGAAGCTGGAGGACGCAATGTTGACAAACGGTCTCAACATGGAGGCGACCCCCAACGTGATCTATGATAGGTCTGGGTTCCATGGCAACGATGCTCGAGAGGGATTGTCGCGACTACGACTATGCATCTCCGACAATTTCGAGACCAGCGACAGCCCTTGGTTCACTTCATTGACCGCTGCCAACCACATGATCATAGACGAATGCCCCATTGTGAACCACAAGGACATGAAATTCATCCCGCACAGCGAGGTCGAGCATCAGACCGAGGCCCTCAGTCCGGCCGAAAGGCTGGCTTCAGGGATGTAGAAATCTAGTCTTTAATTCTGTGATGTATTAAGATCCCAAGAAAACCCTGTTTGGCAGGGCATCGCAGTTGGGCCCGAAGGCGTGGAAGCATATCCTGACGAGAGTGTCTTGCGGCAGGTCAGGGGAGTCCGACCCTACAAAACGCAAGGTCATCGTTTTGGATCCCAATCCGAATTTCGGTGACGTGCTTGAGGCCGTCTGGATGCTGAACGATGCATGGCACAAGGGAGGTGAGGTGCCGCTCTTCGTCGGGATTGGCTTCTATAATCCCGGCGCAAACGACGTGGAGAAGTCCAAAAGTCTCGGAATGCAAAGCTACATGAAGGGCATGCTGCTTCGTAACTGGTGGGAAACCAGCAGGGAAGCTGGAGACGCAGAACCCCGACGGTCAGCTGAGACCACGGTCCAAAAGCCCACCCTGCAGAAGTTGGCCTGGGACAATGCCACAGGAAAGGCGATCATTCCGGACATAGTGGCCAAAAGGTTTGACGACTCCGACCCGTCTGTGCGTGAGCAGTGGGCGCAGTTCTGTGCCAAGACGAAGGACGGCAGCACAGAGTGACAGGAATGTAGACTAGCTCTGAAGTAACGAATTCTGCCATGAATTGTATCACTATAAACTAGTCACCTAAACTTAGACCACCACTTGCGCCGGAATCCCAGATAAACACCCCTAAATCCCCGCACCCCTTCCACCAATCAAGAATCCGAGAACGCCTCATCACAATGACTTGAACGCAAGACTAAGCGTCCAGCCCCGCAGGACTCTTTGGACAACTTGGTCTCGCTTCCATCCACAACCTCATCTGGCCAGGACGGTGAGAGGGTTGGCATCAAGTTCAACGGCCCTGAGTTTGACCCGGACGAGGTGACGAAACCGCTGGATTTGAAGAGGGACCTAAACCGCATCGTCGAGGACTACGACCTGAAGGAATTCGACATGTCAGATGTGTTCCTTCACCATAAACTTAAACCCTCAACCAAAGAGAAACCATGAACCAGGAGCCTTCAACGGGTTCAATGAAGCAGCAAAAGCAGTGACTGCAGCAGCGGCAATAGTAATAGCAAAAGCAGTAGCAGTAACACTAGCAGTATGTAGAAGTAGTTTCAAAGGAATGGATGTGATTTTCTGGGACCAGCCTGGCGGCCCGAGACTATGATCCATTTCCTGGTAGACTCTGTGCTAACGTGCGTGTTCTTACGCATGAAGAGCTTACAATGTATAGCATGTGTCACAGTCACCTATGAACTGCTGAGTATATCTCGTTCTTTGAGGAGCGACACCACATGAAACCGGCCGCTCGTATATAGGGTCCTGGCATAGCAGCTCTCGAAGACACCTGACACTGAACAACGTCGACGTGCGGGTGTTATGAAGGATTCCCAGTCGTCGTTCTGTGAACAGGAGCCTTCTGACAGTCGGTTCTTACAGCATCCGCATATCGCACGATAAGAGTAAACTCCACTGACTAAGCATCGCTGATAAGTTCAAGGCTCTACACCGTGAAGCCCACGCCGAAGCAGCCCGGAATCTACATTACCAAAAAGAAGGAGGTGATGCTCTTCGTCGAAAAGGAGATGCATGGCGAAGCTTTTGACTGCTCGGCGTGCGAGTTGTTTGGGTTTGGGACCGGAGCATTGATCTGCGAGGCGACTGAGGCTTTGCAAGGTGACTTGGACGTGACATGTGTGAGCCTGCGTTAGTACTCAGATCGATGTCAAGCTGCCAGCACAGCAATATGAGTCGGTATCGATACATCAAGGTCAAAAAGGCACGAATCTGTTCTGCATGAGCCACGACACGGATTTGGTCGTTGCCATCAGTCAGAACAAGACGAAGGATCTCAGGATGATTTGCACGTTGGTCTACGAGGCCGAGACACAAGATCAGTGCACAGCAACATTCGCAGAATTGCCTCGCCAGGCCATGCAGATTGGGGTCCCGGACCTCGCGGTGGAGCATCATGAATGTACGCCCAAAACAATCACGAAGCAGGCAGGATTAGGGCACAGTGTCAGGGGTTAGGGCGGCTTGGCTGGCCTTCACAGCCTCAGAGCTGAAAGGTTCGGGGGCCTTAATAAACTTAGGAATCGGGTCCTAGGGGTTCGTGGCTTAGAGCAGTTTTGGAGTATCATCGCGCGGTAGCGGGGTTCGTGAGTTCGTTTTCATGCTCGGCTGGGTTTTTGCGAGGTTTAGACTTCACACTGAGTCTGAGACTTGATTGTGGTTGATCATAGGACCCCACTCCCGTACCCAGGTTCAATCTTGACGGCTGCTTCATGGGTCGTGGCTCCGAGCCCTTACTCATCAAGTTACGTTACCAACAATGGTAGTGCACCCAATCCAGCTAAAACGCCAAACGACACTTCAAGCACAATTTAACATAAAGTCATCACTACTATTTGCTTAAGAAGCCCCCAAAAAAATAAAAATAATAATCCCTATATTACCTCCATAAGGAATGTATTTTTTATTTTTTGGGGGGTTCTTAAGCAAATAGTAGATCATGATGCATCGACAAGTGCCGTCTGAACCCCGGCCTCAATTCGGAATCAAGGCGATTGTCCGTCTTTTGCAAAACAAAACCCGAGCCCCTAGAACCTAAAAGCCTAGTCCTACCTGAACCCCAAACCATGAAGCTTAGATCGCCAACCCGAACTAGGGGCGCGACATCCCGCTGCACAGTCGGATGGACCTCGCGGTGAAGAGCCAGAGCGTGGCTTTCGTGGGGGATAGATTAGATGATGCCACGCTTGCTCAAGCAAGCCTGAAGAGAGGCTTGGCAGGTGCTTTTTTCCGTGATGATTTCAAGGTGCTACCCTCGGCCTCCGCAGGCATTCTTTGGGAAGTGCAATTGTCGCATAATCCTCCTCCGACCTTGAAGGCTTTTAAGCCGAAATATTGGTTGCTAGGCGAGCTGCACATGGTGCCAGGCCGCGTGTATCATTTGGAGTGAAGCAAAGTGTCAGTCACACTCGTGGCAAGTTTTGTGCACTCCAACGCTATTCCCAATACCTAGGACCAAGAACCTAAACACGACAAAGACAACATGTTGCGGTGCTTTTGAGCCATGCAGTGCGCAAAGTGCTTCTCCAATCAATCCCTGCTCAGAGAGAAAAGGTGCCAACGCACGTCAAGATCGGTTGGCGTGTCTATCTTGGGATTGTTTGTGGTTGCTTGGCTGCTGCGGGACTGAACCCAAAACAGGATCACGGCTCAGATCTGAACTAGAAGGGTGACTATCTCTCCCCATCTTCCACCCGTCATGTCGGCGGGAACCTTTCAAGATGTTCGTGTGGATGCTCTCACAGACTCAGACTGTCGGGGCCCAAGCACCGCTATAAACACAATAGTGTTGGGAAATCAATTTCGGTTGCCTTCCAACCAACCCCTCAATATTTTTCTACCTAGCTCGCAGGCCCCAGGTGGCCTCCTCGTCGCTTTGAAGAGTGCCCACGTCTCCTGCGTTAGCCAAGTCAGCGAGTCAGTGAGTCAGTCTAGCCAAGCCTACACTAGGGGTCCCTGGAAGTAAGAACACCTAGTTATCTGTAACAATCCTAGTCACTCCTTCCCTGCAGAGGACTTGGTAGCTAGGCCTCCGAAAATTCCATGAGGTGAGACACCGGCTTCGGAAAAGCAGCGCCTTGGAAGCAGCGACCCCAATGCCAAGGAGGACGTGAGCAAAGAGACATTGCCAAACCCGGTGCCCCAGCGCAAGGCAAAGGCAAAAGCAGCCCAGAGCAAAGCATGCTTGAAAAGGCCCGCCATGGCCGACTCTTCGACAGCAAAGACAACAAAGAAGCCGAAGACAACATGGCGTGGCGAAACAGGCATGTGCGTTACCAGCGACAATCCCGTCCCTGACTTCGTAAGTGACGAAGAGGACGAGGCAGGGCGACATGGTGTGGCTTCATTCGTTAGCTTAAGTCAAGATGTTCGCGACGGCAGGAGAGACGCGGGGCATGTGGGGTTTAGGGGAAGCAAGCGGCCAAAACACTCAAAACGTTAGTACTGAAATCTGAACTGCAAGGTCTACAGGGATCCTATAGGTCCTACAAACCAACTGCGATGTCACTTCAGGACCTGGGTGAAGAAGATGAAGCCGGCATCAACTTCGAAGGCATGAAGGACCTTGTAAGCGCTTGAGATTCAGGGTTTGAAGGGTTTCGGGCTTTACGGGTTTAGGGGTTTGGGGTTCGCGGGTTTAGGTTTTGAAAGTCTAAGGGGGTCAGGGGTTTGGGTTTACGGTTTGGGGCTTCGGGGGTTTAGGAATCTACAGTTTTAGTTGCTCCGGCTCCTGGGGCTGAGTGTTTAGGGGCATGGTTTGCGAAGTGCACTGACTTGCGTCTACTAGATAATGTATTTGTCAACCCCAAACCCATACAAATCATGGACCTTGAATCAAACCCAACAAACCATCACTCAATCCTACGCCACGAACCCCTACAACCCAAAACCCCAAGGCCTGTGTTCAGGGATCACAACTACAGCATTTCAAAGCTTACCGTGATCATGCCAAAAACCTCAATGTCAATGACTTCGAATGACACCCCAGATCAATGCCTCTTGCGTACATTAACACTCGAGCACGCCTGCAATCAACGAAGGATCTGTCACTGGAAGAGATGCTGCATGCTGGGGACGAGGCCGCCGCTGCGATGTGCACTAAGGCCTCATTCGAGGAAGGGTTCGGCTCAAGAAATTCACACTGTTATTGTTGTCGGTCCCCGGGTTGACAGCTTCTCAGTCGCAACATGAATCATCATAACCCAAGAACCCAAACCTAAGACGCCCGTCAAAAACAGTTTTCCTGCAGCAGGACAAGGCAAGCGAAAACGCTGACGGCCAGGGCGTGGACCAGGATCGGCATCGCAAAGTAGGAACCTCCAATCGTTGATTGTGCTGTGTCACAAATTTCAAAGGCCTCAATCTATCTGCTGTAAAGAACGATGCGAGCTAACACACGCATTGGGAAACAGTTTCGGGCTCAGGACATGGACAGCAAAGACGCTGACGAGAAGGCCGAGGATCAGGCTCGGGCTATGCAGCGTCGCAAAGTAGGTGGTGCCTCAAACTGATTACATTGCATGACAACGAGGAACCTTCTCCGAAGAACGATGCCAACTAAGATGCGCAAAACAGTCGTTGATTCAGGAGCCGGAAGGAGTACACGCTGACCGGCAAGCCGAGGACCAGGCTCGGGACATGCAGCATCGAAAAGATCGTAAGTAGGCGCCTCGAATTGCTGATGAGAAACCCGTCAGAAATAGCTTGGATGCAGGACAAGGCAGGGCAAGGTGAAGACCCGGATGGCGAGGACTGAAGCTTGAATTGACTTAGCTTTACCTCGCGCCTAACAACCCTACTAAAGCCCGAAATCCTAATGCTACGCTCCGTTTAGGATTTAAGGCTCTGCATGTTTCAAGATAAACCAAGCTTGTAACAAGATACCGGGTGTAGTTTTGTTGCATGCAGGAAGCCCCCGGCGCTGCCGAAGCCCCAAAGCCAAGCAAAAAGTCCGACAAGAAGGCCAGCTAAGCTTGCAGCATTGCAATTATCACTGGCCCGAATTGAGAAGTCAATAGTCTGACAGATTGACGTTATATTGCACTGCTTCAGGCTCGGCGTCAGTCCAATGACAAAGAGAAGTTCTGGTTTCAGGAACGAAAGCTAGCCTCGGAGGATGGGAGTCTCCTTTACAGGGTGCAATACAAGAAGCAATCGAAAAGCAACGACGTTGTGCTTGTTCACCGATGCACAATGGTTCCCGACAAAACCCCATGGAAACAGCTGGTGCAGATCGTTGTGAAGGAGTTGCCAGACTGGGCTTGCATGGTTGTGGCTTCTCAGCTGATGTTCGAGTGCAAAAGCGGCATCACCGATGCTGCGAACTTGAGGGCGCGGCGTGAGGAGATCCTCACGGCCATCCAAGCCAGCACCTGGCTTCACATACTCAAGCGCAATTGTGATCAAGGCTTCAAGTTTGCCGATGTTGACCACGACCAAGACATCATCACTATGATCCATGCTCGAAATTCCGAGATGTCTGTCAAACAAGAACTGCCGTAGGCAGGCTGACACTGAGTGCGCTTTCTGCTGCAAGGCTAGAGGCTAGGACTACAAACGGTTTGGGGCAACAGCTGCAATGTTTTCACTAACCCTTACCGAACTCGCAGTGAGTAGTGATGGTCTAAGCCCTGCAAGTAAATCCTGAACTGGCCTCGCCCGAAACCCAACCCCAACCAGGAACCAAAGCCTCCACCATCAGCGATTGTTGGCATGACACTGACTACCATCATTGTCCCCACTTCGTCACCCTGAAACCTTGAGTCGAAGCCAGCCCCTAATCCCCGACCCCTCATCCAATCGCGGGCTGAATATCTCAAGCATCGGGCAAAGCCTCCACCATCTACGGTTGTAGAAACATTGATTGATTGCATTGCGCAGTCGAAATCTGCAGCCTAAATCCCGAACCCTCACCCAACCCATGAAATGAAGCAACGGATAAACCTCATCGTCATCGACTGACTAGCCTTGCAGCCTGAGCCCTCCTGAACCTGTAGCATGACATGATCATGGCCTGGAGTGTGTGGATTTTGCATCGCCCGCCACCTGGTGAAAAGCATCGAATCGGCATGCGGCATCAGGGTTCAAGTAGCCATGCGGTCTATACACCTACAGCTCCACCCCTCCGCCTCCTACTCCTGGTCCTACTCCTACTCCCACTCCTACTCCTACTCCTGCTCCTGCTCCTGCTCCTGCTACTACTCCCACTCCTACTCCTATTATTGTCCTACTCCTAGTCTTGCTCCTCCTCCTGCGACCTGCGCCTACACCCACATACAGTACACTCAGTACACCTACGAATCGTACTGCTGCGGCTCCGGCGACTGCTACTGCTCCTGCTGCCGCCGCTGCTGCTGCTACGCTGGTCGTTGTGATACAAAGCTAGGCTTAGGGGTTCAGGGCCCATCGGATATAGGGGGCATCTTAGTTTTGAATGTCTTGAAATATAATGTAATTCGACTTCTATCGGAAAGTTAATCCATGATACCATGGAAACATACAAGTACAAGATGGCAGCAATCTAAACGAAAAAGCAATGACGATTAGAGACAGCTCAACACGTGGACTACCGCCCTGCCTGCACTATCGTCCAAAGAGTGACAATCCGAATCGTCAGCGAGCCTCCCAGGTCCAGCGGCCATCAGCGACAGGAGCAGCAGGCCAAGATGAGGCGGCTTCCAAACAGCATCTTTTGTAGTTATTTACAACCCTGACCACGGCCACTGTATGGATTGCAATTAGCTATACCTTTCGCCGTGCAGTCGGCAGATTTCCAGAGTCGCGAATTTGCTGTGGGTTACATGACATCCTCAAGATTCGAAATGTTTCTGTATGAAATTCGGAAGACTACACTTCTCGGCGATGTATCGCGCTTTCACGGCGGAAGCAATCATTCAAGTGCTCTTAATTTAACAACTTGGGGAATGCAAGGTCAGGGTCTGAATTAATGAAGCTCGAAGCTGGGCGATATCATGCGCGTGGTCCAGGTCGATGCCAGCGGTCACGCTAGGCACGCCACTTCAGACCCAACGGTGAAACACTTCAGGTTCAACGGTGCCGCGCGGCAGTTGCGAGTCCAACTCAGTTCTATTTCAAAACAATAAGGCCCCTTTAATGTTCTTTGACCAGTGCTCGCAGTGGTCAGCTATCCGCGGGCAGTACAATGCCTGATCCGATCTGCCAACATCTTGAGAGCAAGACTTTGAATCGTATGAGATATCCCACAACGTCAAGTTGTATAGATCGAAACCCAGGCTTCTAAGTTTAGATATTGACAGTAAGCTTCATACATACGCTGTGCGCAGATGTGTGGCTGACTCATTGGGTGGGCAATTGGGCCCCGCAAAAGTAACAATAGATCCAGCCAGGGGTCAGCTGCTTGCCACAGAAAGGGCACCATCTAGCAGATTCATCTACTGCTTGAGAAGTACCTGCGGCAGGACGACTTGGGCCAGGCGCAGCATCCTGCTGGACTAGCCCGGCAATCACAGGACCCAAGGCGCAGTCGATCGCACGACGCTTGCGCAGGTTTGTTGGGACGTCGTAGTGTTTTTTTAGAACCGCCACCGATGTGTTTGTGATCGCACTTATGACAGCCATGGTAGCACCAGCCTCTGCAAGCAATGACACACAGGTCTTCTTGACCGTGTGTGTTCCGATGTGCG